TGACACGGTGGCTGCGATGATGGGCTCAAGTATAGCAGGGATTGTGGGGCTGGCGCGGGATCGGGCAGTGTTTCGTTCTGCTGTGCATGGGGTCGCACAGCACTCGACGGCACCTAACAACAATAACAACAACATCAGTAGGGAACATTCCTTAGAGAAGGGCATCATACTTTCTAAAGCAGAGGGTTGGTGAAAAAAGAGGAAGACCCTTAATGAGATGAATTGATACAGTGGCTGCAACAGTGGGCTCAAACAGGTGAGGATGGTGCAGAACCACGTATTGTGTTGTACATGAGGTGACTGTGAGTCTGTGTCATAACTTACTTGACAGCATTTAAGGACAACAACAACAAAAATGGGTACAAGGTGTTAGGTACACCTATTTCTGATTAAAATTTGGGATTTCTGTTTAGTTTTATAAGAACTTCATATAAGATTTTTTTCTCCTAGTGAATTCTTTCAAATAAGAAAATTGATGAGTGTTATTGGGTAAATAAGGCTAGTGATTCTTTTCCAGTTTTTCAGAAAGCATAAATTTATAAATTCTTTGCTTACCTTATAAATATTATGGAAAGATGGCTTTCTAAAAAATTTCATTGTTGAGTGCATGGTATCATAATATTGGAGACATATTTTAATATTGGTTCCTGATATTAGAAATCTGTTTTTAGCTGGCAAGCTATGAGAGCCAGGTTGCCAGGCTGCGATCTGAGGTTGAAAAAGGAGAGGCATTGCGACAAAGTCTGGAATATGACCTGGCTGTCGCTAGAAAGGAATCTGGTCTTGGAAAACGAGCTGCTGAAGAAAAGTTAGCTGAGGCACATAGGATCCAAGAAGAGCTCTGTGGTAAGACTATTTCTATTTCTTCTCATATTAGGATTGTAACCTATCTTTGTTATCTAGTGCTTCTAAACAGAAATACCACAGTTGGATGGCTTTAAACAAACAGAAATTTATATTTTCATCATTTAGGAACTCTGATGGCGTAGTGCCTAAGGCATTTGACTGCTAACCAGAGGCTGGCGGTTCAAAACCACCAACCACTCCTCAGAAGGAAGGCTGGGCAATCTACTTCTGTAGTGATACTGCCTCAGAAACCCAAGGAGGAATCACTATAAGTTGGAATCAACTTGATGGCATTGAGTTTGGCTCTTTGGTTTTCATCATTTAGGAGGCTAGAAGTGTGAATTCAGGGCACTAGCTCTAAGTGCCTTTCTCTATTAGCTCATAGTTTAGGAGGAAAGCCCTTGTCTCCTTTCAGCATCTCTGGGCCTGGTGTTCCTTGGAGATCTCTATGTGTCTTGGCATCAATCTTCCTTTGTGTGTAGGAGGTTCTCAGCACACAGACCAAGTCCAAAGGACATGCTCTTCTTTGTTGATGGTACTGAGGTCCCTCTTTGATTCTTTCTCCTTTTATCTCTTAGAATATAAAAGGTGATACAGGCCACACCCTAAGAAAATTCCCCTTACGTTGGATCAGGTCTGTGACCTGAGTAAGGGAGTTGCATCTTACAACTGATTGGCTAATCACATCAGATCACATCATGGGCAATGATCACATCATTAGTTAACTGTCAAATTTTGAGTCATTACATAACTGCCAAACCATGGAGAATCATGGTCTGGCCAAGTTGATGTATATTTTTTGGGGGGAACAAAGTTCAATCCTTGACATAACTTCATTGTATATCATTGTTGCTATTGTACATGCATTTCTTATGGGGTCAGAGGTAGGATTTTAAGTTGTGAATGGCCATTTATGGACAGAATTTTGCCTAGTGTATAAGGTATTATATTGTGTGAACATATTATAATTATTTTTATCCATTTACTATCAATGAGCATTGGGAGCTCTGGTAGTGTAGTGCCTAAGGCACTTGACTGCTAACCAGAAGCCTGGTGGTTCAAACCCACCAGCCACTCCTCAGAAGGAAGGTTGGGCAATCTACTTCTGTAGTGATAATGCCTCAGAAATCTAAGGAGGAGTCGCTATGAGTTGGTCCGACTCGATGGCAAACAACAACAACAACATTAGTGAGCATTTGGGTGGTGCCATTGTTTGGCTATTAAGAACAGGGCTGCTGTGAACGTTCTTGTTCATACTTAACATGAATTTAGGAAGTTTAGCTTTAGGTCCTGATTTAACCACTTACGTGCTGATCTTTGAGCCTAGGTTGTTTTAAGGATGAAAGGACATAATGAAAGTACTTTGTGAACTGTATGGGGCAAAACACATGTTAAAGTGTAATTATTGTAAAAGTTACAACGTTTAGTTTTGGCTAGCTGTCTTGTGTTATTTTGACCTTGGTTAGATATTTTTTGATTGATATTGCCATTTAATATTTACACCACTATCTTGGAATTTAGGAGTAAAGGAATTGGAAGGCTCTATATAAAATTAATTATCTTCATTTACTATGAGGTAATAGAACTCCAAGGAAAATGCATAGTTACTTGCCCAAAGTCAAAAGATTTTAACAAACACTTTACAGACGAAGAAATAGGAATGGCTTTTAATCACGTGTCAAAATGCTTAACCTCACTTGTCATCAGGGAAATATAAATTATAACTAGTGACTACCACTGTACACCAACTACACATTCTCATCAAATAGCTCTAATTGAAAAGACTGTCATTAGCAATTGTTGATGAGGATGTAGAACAATTGGAACTCTCCCACTTTGTTAGCAGGAGGATAAAATTGCACACCCACTTAGGAATAAAAAAAAAAACAAAAAAAACAAAAAAAAACAAAACAAATTCACTGCTGTCAAGTCAGATCACTATGGAAGGAGATTGCCCACCTTCCTTCCGAAGAATGGCTGGTGGGTTTGAACCTCCAGCCTTCTGGTAGCAGTCAAATGCCTTAGGCACTACGCCACCAGAGCTCCCATTTTGGAATACAGCCTGGCAATTTCTTGTAAAATAAATATTCATTTATTCCATGACCTCACAATTTCACTTTTTATTATTTCCCCACAAGAAAGAAAAACAGCTAAGAATTTCATAGCAGCTCCATTTTTAATAGTCCCAAATTGGGAAAAAAAAAAA